TGAAATGTGATATTAATTTATAAAATTCAGATAGAAATATATAGAATTATATAAATATATAGGAATTCTATGTAAATATATCAATATATTACCTATATAAATATACAGATCAATCAAACCAGCCTGGTTTGCAAATACAGGGCTGCCCACACCATAATAACCCATTGCAGTCAGGATTTCTCATGGTTATTCCCCAAATAAAGCCCCCAGCATCACCTCCGGCAATGGGAGAAGGAAACCCAAGGCAAAGCAGCAATAAAGCGCCCGTTAACCTGTTGGCGATCAAGTAGATCTCCATGCTCTGAAGGAATATGGACTTGCTGAATTCAAAATCCAGGCGAAAAGCGACCTGCGGAGGTTGGAGAAAGATCGGAGAAAATATTAGGAGAGGGGAAAATTAATCAAACCGAAACCCCTGAGCGCTGGCCAGGGGCGATGCGGGGACTCTGGGGTGGGAGCATCCCCCTGAGAGATGCTCCCAGCTTTGGGCAGAGCTTTTTGGGGTGAGAAGAGGCCACACTGGGGATTTGCAGGATGCACTCGCTGCATTTTTTTTCTCTCTCTGAGATTGGGAAGCAAAAAGCCCCCGAATTTGGGAGGAAAAACCCCCGGGGGATCCTGCGCTGGCTACCAGCTGCGGCACGGGGTCGGCAGCCGGAGAGGGGCCAACACCAATAAAAAAATGTGATAAACGTCCCATCTGCGAGCGCCGTGGCAATGACCTCAAACTGTCTGGGACGGCGCAGCTGAGGATCATATTAAAACTCCGCTGCTCGCCAGCCAAATTTCCATTTCCAGCTCGTCTTTGTTTTGGCAGGACCTGGACTACCTGGTGCCACGCAGATGCATTCTCAGCCCCCGTAGGTCATGGGGAGCCGGGCTGCTGCGCTTTCGGCTACGGCCACAGGCATCCGAGAGGGCTTTTTTGGGAGCTTTAAAGCCTCGTGAGGTGCCTGCAGCTCATCTGTCATTTTCCAGCTCCCGTCAAGGAAAGGCTGCAGACGGATGTGGTGGGTGGAAAGGTTTTTCTCCTTAGATCCCACTTGTCTTGGCCTGTTTTTCCACAGGGGTGCAGGTGGGATATCACAAGGTGGCCACAAGCAAGCTGGGTCCTGCTCTGCCCATGCCATCTCCTCGCTTTTTCCATCCCTTGTGACATTTGGAAGGGTTTTATGGCATTAAAAAAATGATGCTTAATGGACCTGGGCTTATGCACCGCACTGGGAGCCACTGCAAGCTGTGGTCCCAAGGGGGCTTGGAGGAGAGTCCGGAGGGACCTTGGGTGTTCAGAGCAAGGAAAACCTTTCAGTGCCTCATCCTGCAAGGATGGAGCTGGGGGAAGTTACCATCAGTGGTTTGAAGCCAACATTAAATTGCTCCAAAGGGCTGGAGTCAAATTCGGTGAGGATTGGAGGATTTGGTGCTGGGCAATGCCCTACAATCACTGCAGCACCCGAACCATCCCGGCTCCCCTAACACGCCTTTCAAACACCAGCAATGGACAGAGAAAGGCAAACCCCCAAGGATTTATCCTTAAAAACCCTGTTCAAAGCCACCCAGCCCCACAATGGATGGATGTGGCCCTGCAGTGATGCCAGGGCAGAGGGGTCCTGTCCTGAGGGTGAATTTGGGCAGGAGGGAAGGGCTTTACCTTGGCCTTGGCGCGGAAGAAGGGGTAGCTGACGTTGCACACCTTCTTGTTGGGGTTCTTGTCCTCGGTCATGCAGTCGATGTTGATGTCCGTGTCGTCCTGAAACGAGACACGATGTGACACGGGGCACGAGCCCCATGGCCTGGCTCTTTGTGAAGGCAGCAAACGCACCCCTGGGGCTCAAAACAAGCTTTAACTTTTGGGAAAAACAACCAACCAACCAAGCCACCCCACTGCTTGCTGCAGGCCAGGAATCCTTCCAATGGAGTTGAATTTCTCCCTCCTGGAAAGGGTCATTTCTAGCAAGTAACCTCCAGCTTTCTGGTTTAAATCCCCCTCAGAAACTTAACTACAGCAGCAAATGAATAAACCTAATTATTCTTGCCCCTATAAGTGGAAAGAAGGATATTTGCATGCGATGAGGAGTCACAGGGAAGCAACCCTCTCTACCTCCTCCCCTCCCAAGCAGTAGCAACCCTACAAGAGGTTGTAGCCTGGTTGTATGCAGGTGTCCGTCCCCTCAATGAGCTACTCCAGCTTTTGGCCTTGTATGAGACCCTGCAAGGGTTATTTTTATTTGGGCCTCTGTACAGCCCCTGACACAAACACCCATCCCCTCCGGTTGGCAATTTGCTTATTTATAAGGAGTAGGAGCCAGGAATCCATTAACAGAGCAGTGTAGCTACAAATATTTCCTGTGACCACCGCTGCACGGTGCTTTCTGTTACCGAGCATCACAGGGTATTTTTTTCCCTCAATTAATTTGGAGTAATCTCTCAGAAAAACGCATTTTTCTTATTTTTGAGGGTAACGTGCCCCACAATTTTCCCTTGGCATGGCTTATAGAAAAAAAAACCAACGCAGGACATGGGATCTGCGGGCGAGGATGAAGTCATGGGAGGGGGATGAGCGAGGGCCCAGCAGCATCAGCAAAATCTCCCAAACCTCGCTGGGAAAAGGGAAGATTGAGATGAGCAAATGGTGGGGGTGAAATATTGGGGCATGGGGACAGGGGGACAGCCGTAGAGAAGTGGCATCGCCCAGCTCGATGCTGAGCTGTGGCCACATTCCCATTATCAGCCCCATCCTTCCAGGAGTTCTATCTCAGCCGCAAAAATTCACCCCTGATGGGAACTTGGCCACGTGCAGCGAGTATTTTTAAACTGTTGGAGTAGAAAAAAAACGAAGAGGGAAATAATTTCATCTGCATTTGACCTTCTTTCAGGCTCTTAAAATTCAAACATTTTCTCGTATTTCCAAAATAAAGGGCTGAAAGCAACTCAAGTGCTCAGCAGCTAAGCCCATAAACACGTCTGATTTATGAGGAATGGAGACATTTTTGGGCTCAGGTTTAGGAGGCAGCTTTCTCACCCAACCAGGATTAGAAGCGGCTCTGGAGAGCCCTGGGTCTCCCCTCCACCCCAGACCCACCTTGGGGATCAAGCTGGCGAACTGCAGGTTTCTGGAGAAGGAGATGTTGAGGACGGTGCTGTAGGCATTTTCCCCCCGGTTCTCCAGCGCCGCCTCCACCGCCACCCTCCTCCTGCTGCTCTCGATGACGAAGACGGAGGCGTCGAAGGAGAGGGTGAAGGCCGAGCAGTCCCCTCTCCGCAGAGCGCGGCGGCAGTAATCCCTGCACGGGGAGCAACCCCACCGTCTCCACATGCACCACGCGTACGAGAGACCAAGAAAATCCCCGTTTCCCCCCATTGTGGAAGGAGGAATCGCAAACTCCTCCCGCCAACCATCGTTTTGCTGGGGATTTTTCTGTGTCTAGCTTTCTCAAATCTCCTAATTCTCTATTAATTAATTCTCTTAATACAGCTAGGATGTAAGGAAGAAACCAAGCAGCTTCTATAACTCTAGCAGAGGTTATTTATTTTCAGCTTGGCTTAGATCTCCCTTCTGGTAAATTGACCAGCACAGACTCCGCAATAGCAAAGTCTTGATGGGTTTTTTGGGCATTGATTTTTTTTTTTAATGCAAAATAAATAAAGGAAATGTAGGATGGAGCCAGCTTCTGCCTCTGATCCATAAATAATCCCCTACCTACAGCTCCCTTCAGCCTCCCACAGCACAGCCCTGCCAGGACCCATCCTGCGCTGGGTCGCAGCCTCAGGACCAAGAGCTTTACAGGGACACAGAGCAATAAATGCTGAATTACGGGATATAAGTAATTCCCAGGTAGCAGCACTGGCCATAAGCTCGATCCAGAGCCCACTACCATTGATGGGAGGCAGAAATTCAGGCTCCTGTGCTCTGAGATAACCTCTCAAAGCTCTCTGAGCCATCAGATGTAACATATAATTATTTCTGCTGCCTGCGTCAAGCCGGTAATTGTCAAGCGAGTAATGCCAGCCTTGCATTTATTCCCCTCTGTTATTTACTGATTTGTCTCCCTGGGGCTCATCACCAAGGCATCAAATATTAGTTGTCTTGTGGCTTCCCTGAAAAACCACCAATTGGTTCCAGGCAGAAGCTCAGACCCTGGAGGTGCTGAGAAACTCCTCGTGGTGGTGTTGGACGAAGGATGAAGCTGCTCTGTCAATAATCTACGGAGCATGGGTTGGGGCTGGGTTTCAGAGCCCCACCAGCTTGTGGTACTGGTTGGGAGGATGCTCCAAGTGATCTACTCACATGGCACTGGGAACATCGCTCCTGGCGTCCAGGACCAGATCAGGGACGCAGTGCTCATCCTCATTGCACCCGTTCCAGAAAGGGACCTGAGGAGGACAACAAGAGCAGCTAGGAGATGCTTTGAGCCCCAGGTTGTAGAAGGGACATGGGCAGTGATACCCAACACATTGCTATATCATGAGAGGGACCTAGGGACCCAAGATAAAGAAGCAAATGTCACATCCAGAAAGAAATCTGCACCGAGTGCCTGATCAAAGGCACCCAGGGAGGTTGGTGCTGTTACCTACCGAGACCTTGAGCGAGGTGGGCCAGCCGTCATCCAGCATGGGGCCGTTCTCGGGATGCTCCAGCTCGTAGTCGATGGAGAACGTCACTGGCTTCACGTAGTCGGCCGTGTCCTGCGGCGGACAGAAAGCAGCATTGGGAAGGACAGGGGTCCTGCTCGTGGAGTGGCAGCGTCAGAGAGCAAGGTGAGGCATTGCTGCAGGGGTGCGTGATGATTTTATGAAGTAAAAGCTTTGTGATCTACTAATCTTGGTGTGTAATCACCCTGTCTCTCCAGCTAACCCTCACCTAGGGTTGGGGACAACCTGAGCTCAGCAATGCTGCTCAACACCCATCTGATGGCGTGGGAGATGCTGGCTCCGAAAGATGGATGTTACCAGGGAAAATGACTCCAAGCCCGTCTTCAGGGGGGGACAGAGCCATCTCTGCAACCCTTACCTGGGGCTCATCAGGCTGCTAATGAAGCTGCACCTTTCCTGCAGCTCTATGAGCACTTCCCACGCATCGTTCCAGCTGCACAGGGCGCAGCAAGATGCTCTGAAGCGAGATGTTTCTTGTGCTAAGTCACCAGCTCCATCTCGAGCTCCAGACTTGAATTTCCCAGAAGTTCACGGCCGTTCAGGCCAGGGCTTGGGGCCGGGCCAGTCTGGCAGCTCGGCCCTCCCTGGCCTCTGCAATATCCTCGTCATTCATGGGGAATGTTTGATTTTGGCCAGGTTTGCGCATCAGCTGTTCCCTGCGAGTGGTGCAGGGGGTTTCACTGGCTCCTGCACCCTGGGAGGGGGACCTTGGTGGTCAGAGGGGTGCAGAGGGTTGACAGCATTGGGGACTGCCATGGACACGTTTGGTTCCTGATGGAAAATAAGTGAGTTTAAACTGATTTTGGAGGAGGAAGATGAGCCTGACCGGGCTGTCAGGAGTGCACGCCCTCCCCAAGGGCACAGGGCTGCAATGAAGTCAGTGCTCAGGGACCCAGCAGCTGCCACAGGCCGGCAGCTCCATCCCTGACCACATCAAACCCAGCACAAAGAAATCCAGTCTGGAGAGGGATAAAGCTCAACTCCAGCCCCATGAAGCCATCGAGGCTCCTCTGGTCACATCCCGATGCATTGCTGTTCTGCACAAGGTGGAGAATGCCATTACTGGTACTGGGACCAGTGCTGCTTGTCAGTGACATGGACAGTGGGATTGAGGGCATCCTCAGCAAGTTTGGGGATGACACTGAGCTGTGTGGTGTGGTTGACACCCTGGAAGGAAGGGATCCACTCAGAGGGACCTGGTCAGGAGAGGTGGGCCCAGGGGAACCTCATGATGTTCAACAAGGCCAAGTGCAAGGTCCTGCACCTGGGTAGGGGTAATCCCCAGCACAAACACAGGCTGGGGGAGAATGGGTGGAGAGCAGTTCTGAGGAGAAGGACTTGGTTTTGGTCGATGAAAAACTCAACATGAGCCCCCGATGTGCATCTCCAGCCCAAAAACCAATTGCATCCTGGGCTGCATCACAAGAAGTGTGGCCAGCAGGGCCAGGGAGGCGATTCTGCCCCTCTGCTCTGCTCTGGTGAGACCCCACCGGGATACTGCATCCAGTTCTGGAGCCCCCAATATAAGAAGGACATCGAGCTGTTGGAGCGGGTCCAGATGAGGGCGATGGGGATGCTCAGGGACTGGAGCACCTCCCCTATGAGGACAGACAGAGAGCTGGGGTTATTCAGCCTGGAGAAGAGAAGGCTGTGGGAGGACCTTATTGCAGCCTTCCAGTTCCTGAAGGGGCTACATAAAAGCTGAGGCAGCTTTTTACCAAGGCAGGTAGCGATAGGATGAGGGGGAATGGCTTTAAAATGAAAGAAGGTAGATTTAGACCAGATATTAGGAAGAAATTCTTCACTCTGAGGGTGGTGAGGCCCTGGCACAGGTTGCCCAGAGAAGCTGTGGGTGCCCCCTCCCTGGCAGTGCCCGGTGATATATGAGATAGTTAAATATCATCTAAATATCACCTACCCCCTCCATGGCCAAGCGATTGGAACCAGACGATCTTTAAGGTCCCTTCCAACGCAATCCATGCTGTCATTCATTCTGTGATCATTTTTTGGGGGCATTCAGCAGAGGAGGACTCACCAGGACGTGGAAGTGGAGCCCCTCGCAGTGCTCCTGCCCGGCCAGCAGCACCAGCCCCTTCTGCGCCTGCCGCTCCCCGCTCTCGTCCAGGTAGGCCCGCGGCGCGTACCGGCGCTCGTCGATGGTGGCGTTGTACCGCAGCGCTGCAAGGACAGCGGCGCCGTCACGGTTTCTCCCCAGGGTTACGCTGCTACATAGCAACACCGGGCCACAAAAGGGGGATTTTGGGCTCCCAAAGCCCTGTCACCTGGCTGGGATGAGTGGGGCAGGGAGCACGCCAAGGGAAAATTGGGTGATGGTTGTCAATGCTTGTTTCTAACAAACATTTGTTCTGGGCAAAGCAACCCCTCTCCGTGTCAAATAAAATGCATTATTACAAGGCACTGCATAAAATCTGTGCAGGATATATAATTATTTGCCTCTTATATATTCACATACTGACTTGTATCAGTTCTGGAGGTATCGCAACCCTGAGCGCTCTCCTCAATATTTTACCAGAGATTATTTCCTTCCTGCACTGCTGTCCAAAATAAACGGAAGATCCTCAACCTGGTGGCCAGCAGGGGGATATTTGCACCCACTGCACCAATGTGATACAAAACCATCAGCCCCCAGCACGTGCCACCCACAGGGTGGCTCTTTTGGGTAGAAAATGTGTAAAAATAAATAAATAAAAGAAACCCCATTCAGCTTTTTTTTCTGCAAGCTCTGCAGTCATAGCAGGGAGGAGTAAAACACTGGATTTGATAGAACAAATCAAAATTCTTGCTCCAGGGGATGGGAGTTTTACCCTTGGCTTTGCTCAGGACCCAATTTCCGTTCGACGGCGTTTGCTGCTGGGTTACGAGGGGGCTGAGCCGCTATCGCCTCCCCCCCAGCTCCAGCTGAGTCACGGGCATCCGCCGGGTAGATGTGGGGTCAAGGCAACACACGAGGGTTTAATAGCAGGGCTGGCCCATAACTTCACAGAGATTCCCCGGGATATGAGGGAAATATGCACATCTGGGCCCCAGATGCGTCGTGCCCCTGCAGCGAGAGGGATGGATGAGCTCTGCGGGACGTGGGCCGGGCACGTCCTCTCCTGTCCCGCTGGGGACATCCCCGTCACACGTACCACGGCAAGAGGAGCTGCAGGAGAGCTCGGACCCAGGGTGCAGGTGAGAAAAGAGGTTAAACCCAGGTATGGTTGAACTCTTGGGATGTTTCTTAGCACTGCTTAATGGCAGAGTCACTGTCCCTGCTACCTTGGCCAGGATAGGGACAAATTTGTGGGTAAAAAGGGATGTGGCAGATGGCAACGTGTGCTGCTCCAGATGTGCCAAGTTCCTGGATGCTTTCCCTTGGCAGCAGCGGCTGCTCCCTCAGGGCTGGAGACGGAAAACAGCTCATGAATTGGGGTTTTTGTAGCGCGAGCAGCCGTGTCCCACTTACCCACGCTGGCCGTCTGGAAGTGAGCTGAGAGGAAGACGGCGGTGAAGCAGACGAAGGCCGACATGCAGGTGGCATCCTTCCCATTCCGCTTGCAGTCCTTGGTGAAGATGTTGATTTTGGAGGGCTCGAAGCGGATGCTGGCATTGATCTGGACCACGCTGCGGGACCTGGGGGGCAAGCAAGGGTCAGAGGTCTGCAGCAGCCTCCAAAAGCCTCCAGGTTCACCCCTTTTTATACTTTTCCACCCGTTTTTCCAACATCAAAAGGGTGCTGAGGAAGACCAAAGGCCACTACAGCGTGTTGACCTACTCTCAGCTCATCTATGTAGAAGAATCAAATCCAGCTATGAAGAATAAAACCCCTTGCACGTATTTGCCTCCTGCTTATGCCAGTGAAGCGACTCAGCACTGAGAGCAGGATTTGGTCCCCTGTGTGCATGGTCCATCTCTGGACCTTGATGGACCTAGCATGGTCCATCTCTGCTGGGCATATCCGCCCTCCATCCTAACCCCTTCAAGCGATTTTCCGAACATTAATTGCTACTTGCAAATATTAAATTGTTCCTATTTAATAAGACCTGAGGGGAAGCCTGGGTGAATCACCACGAGTGAATTAATCTGGTTTGAAACCCCTGGGGAACTAATGACGAAATTCAACACAAAGCCAACTCTGATGTCCTTCTAGGGTCCAACTGCATTGAAATCCCCCAGCCCCATCAGACATTACTGCAGAAAGATGGGTCGGATTGTTTTGAGATGAGATTTTCCCTCAAAAAACGTCAGCATTTTGGGAAGTTTTGGGCAGAGGAGAGCGCCAAACGAGACGCAGCTAACCACAGCAGCACGGCGTTCCCCAGGGAGCCGACGGCCAAGTCGACGAGCCCGTCTTCGTTCAGGTCCAGCTGTCCGTGGATGCTGCAGCCAAAATACATCAGGCCCGGCGCGAGGTCCGCAGCTGCGATCCGCTGAAAAACAAAGGGGAATCCAGGCTGGTTTCCAGCAGGACCATCCCTGCCCGCCAAGGGGGTTTTGCCACGCCAACCTCCACCACCTTATTGAAGATGCCCCTTTCCAATCGATTGCACCAGTTGTAATTTTCCATAAAATGAAAGCAGTTTTTCTTCAGAGACTCCATCCAGAGATTTATCCTGAATTTACTCTGCGTATTTACTACTTCTCACAAGTGTGGGAAATACTTTATCTACAGTAATCCGTTGCACTGAGTGCTAAGCATTGCCCCTCATTTCAAGCACTTTTTCCATACCCTAAGTTTGCTTTCTCTTGGACCCTTCACAAGAGAAAATATCCAGCAATAATAATTAACAATGCAACCCTGCATGTGAATTTACTGCGCTCTAGCAGTCCTTAAAATGGGCCCAAGTGGCATTTATTCTGATGAAGGATGAGGACAACCCAAACACCCAGGAGCTGTACCTGCTTGTACTTCTTTAGGACGGTCTCCTTGAAGCCAAGGAAGACGTAAATCGCTCCTTGGTGCTCGTCCTCCAAAGGAGCCCCCACCACGAGGTCATTGTAGGAGTCCTGGTTGAGGTCGGGCACGGCGGCGATGCAGGAGCCGAAGCGTGAGTTCTGGTAGCTCTGCAGGTCCACCAGGGCCCCGCTGGAAACAAAGCGGTTCTGCTGGGCCAGCCAAAGAGAAAAAGCAAAATAAAAACCCCAAAAGCATCAGTAGTGAGCACGGCAAGAGGAGAAAACCCTCAAAGGCGTGCAGCCAAGATGTGGTGATATGTGAGCAGTTGCTCTAGGAAGGGAGTGAGAGCCCTCCTGGGGCTGTGGGACTTTTGCTCAGCACGTTTTTGGGGATGGATGAGCCCTGCACCAGCCCGCCGTGTGCCTTGCCTCCCTTTCATAGCATCCTATGTAAATAATTGCATAAGGAGTTGTGCTTAATAAAGCCCCACAACCCCAAACAGGTGAAAGCCCTGCGAGGAAACGGTTTTAGGGGAGATAAAGTGGCAAAGACCCCACCTTGCACCCCATTCATCAGCTCCTCAGGGCTGGGAAGCAGCAAAGCCTTGAGATGAGATGGCTCTGTTCCAGCACAAGCCAGACGCCCTTCGCTGGCAGCGAGCAAACCCCCCGAGATTGTTTATAAACACAGAAAACAGACAAATCCTCCTCCCGTCCTGCAGCAGCCGCAGTGGTGAGGAGCTGCCAAGCTCTGCTGCCTTTGGACCGCGCTGCCGTGCCCTGTGGTGTTTGAGTCACCCTGGGGAGGTGACACGAGGGGACGCAGTTCCCTCGCTAACACCCAAACGCCCTGGTGATGTCCTCATGTACCTCCCGCAGGGTGTAGATGTAGACCTTGCCCCTCTCTCTGCCCTCGCTGAAGTACATGGGGGCTCCCACCAGCAAAACGTCGGTGATGCCGTCACCGTTGACGTCGAGGGAGTTGATCTCGCTGCCGTAGTAGGAGCCGATCTGGAGGAGACAGAGGAGGGGATGGGAGCAACGGTCCCCAATGCCACCCTCCTTGATAGGGACCGCAGGGACATCCCCAGTCCCATCGCTGCTACAGCTGGTGGACATCCCCAGCTGTAAATGCATCACGTTGCTGAGCCATTTGAACAGAATAATTAATGCAATGAAAGGGAGAGGGTTGACGGAGGAGCGTTACCTGCTCTCCCTTCAGCGCCTGGTGGATGGTGAGGTTTCGGTTGTTGTGCATGCTGAAAATGATGACTTTCCCAGTGTGGTTGAACCTGGGCGCTCCCGCCACGTAAATCCGCTCGTGCTTGGTGGAAATGACGGAGGAGACGGTGTAACCTGGAAGGGAGGTGGATGCGGGGTGAGCGTGACCGAGCGGATCCCAGCCGCTGCCTGGTGCTCTGCTTCCCATTAACCCCCAGCTGCTGACACGGCGCTGGCTGCCTCCCAGCTCAGGAAGCCAGAAACCCTGATTTCTTCAAAGATAAAGTCATTCAAATAAACCCCAGCGCCCTGACCCGGGGCTTTGCGCTGCCTGCTTGTATCCTACCTACACCCAGCTGCTCCAAGAGTTTTGGCACTGACACAGTCAGCAAACCCTGTGCAAAATCCTTATTTCATGGAGGATGACTCAAATTCACAGCCTGAGAAGTGTTGTACTTCACGGCTCACGTCAAGTTAAATGAACACCAGCAAGAAGTGTGCACGCCGGGAGGGTCCTTTGAGACCCCAGCACCACCGCATCCCTACCCAAGCGTGAAAGACTTTGCTGATGCTAGACATTAACATCCACAGGCCAATAAAAGCCGTGAATCCATCAAGACCATTGCTCATGGGTTCTTACAGAAATAACCCTGTGTAAGAAAATGCCCCTGAGCAACCCCTCTTTCCTACCCAGGCGGGTGATTTTCTGCATTGGGATCACTGACACTGCACTTGGTGTGCTGGGCTGTGGCACTTGCCTGTGGTTGCAGATGGGTTTATGTAGGAATATAACGTTGGGGCTGCAAAAATCCTATCTTTCAAACCCAGGTCCAGGTTCCTGCACATTCATAATCGGCTTTAAATGCTATTTGAATTATTAGAAACTCAAAGCACGGCCAGCACTGAAGCTGGATCAGATCACTTGGGGTCACAGGGTTTAATGGGATTTATGGACCCCCTTTCCCTGGGAATTGGCCTCACCTGGGGTCTCTGTCTCTTTACATATTCCCCTTCTGGGGGGATATTTTCAAGTTGAATATCAGCCTTGAAACCCAGAGGTCCTGACACTGGGTTTGCCAGGTTACTCTGCAGTGGTGTTTCATTCATATTTCTGATTTTCTTAAGGCAATGGGAAATCAGAGCCCAGCTGAGCTCCCCCATACTGTCCTGGGTACCCCATAGCATCCCACCCCACTCTCTGCCGTGGGGCAGCTCGGCCTGGCACGCACACCTCTGGAGAGAGCCTTCATTTCGCAAACCAGGCTGATATTTTTACTCCGGGGTTTTAAGAGCCGCACATGGAACGGATTAACCCAGCAGGTATTTCCTCCCTAGGCATGAAATTTCATCAGGGCTTTTTTAAGCCATTCCAGTAAGCACTGGCGGTCACCCGGGCCGGCCGGTGCCTGAGCTACTTCTGCCTTTAAATCACTTCTGTGCTGCACGTTGTGGTCGATGCTGGACTCTGCCCAGGCGAGGATGCTCACAGATGCTGCATCTCTGAGCGAGGACCAATTTAGGTCTTGCATGGATGAGAGCTCACAAACAATCCCAGCATGGTACTACCTACACTGGGAGCGCTGGCTGCTATTAGTCATCTGAGAAATATGTTGTGTTTCCTATTATTAAGACTAAAATCATGAATTCAGCCCTGGCAGTGAGACCTTAATCTGGTTTTCTTACCTAAATATGCTCCGTGATTTTTCAGCTCCTCCGGGAACTCCTGCAGATAGGATTCCCGCAGGGGAATGACTTTCCCGCTGCTGGTTTCCTTCAGGACGGCTCCGTTCCAGTCGTAGGCACCCACCGCCCCCAGCAAGATCCCATCCTGTGGGAGAGCAGGGGTAGTTTGAGGCTATTTCTTGACAAGTGGAGAAATAAGGGGAAAAAAACGGGAAAAAAACCCCCCAGAATTCAAGCAAACCATTCTCCAAAGCACACCTGGAAAGATGGAGATATTTGAACACGCTGGAATGACATTTCCACCCCATCCACATCTTTCCAGTGTCTTTTTCCTCCCCAGGAAAGCAGAAATTCCTGCTTTTCACCCTCAGAGCGGGCGGAAAGGGACCCGCGTTCCTCTGCACCCCAACACCCACATGTGCCCATGTCCCCCATGGCACAACCCAGTACATGGCAGCACTGGGAGGAGCGGCTGCAGACTGGTCCTAAGGAAGGCACTGGTCTCCCCCTTCCCCATGGGATAAACCAGCATTTTCTCCCTTGTGTTTGCATTAGTAATTTAGCTTGGTGATTAATAAATTGCACAGGGCACCTGCTTGCATGGGAAGGAGGAAAAGAATAATTTAAAAATAAATAAAAATCACATTTACACTCTTACTTCCACAACATGTGATGAAAATCCAGTCTGGGACATTTCCAGGCCAAAGGAGATTTCATTCTTGTTGGTTCCTTTGAAAAAAAACCAACAAACAACAAGGTTTTATATTGTTTGTATTTAATGGAGGGGCTGAGCGGTGCCTCGAGGTGGGGCGAGCATCCACCTCCACCCCACTTGTGGCACATGGACCTCAATTGCCATAAAAGTGCTTATTTCTCCCCAAAATCACCCCAATTACACAAACTCGTGCTGCTAATAGATACTGCGAGCTCTACCACTGTGTGGTTGTCTCATTTCCTGGCTGCAAGATCACAAAAAATCAGGGATTTAGAGTATTTATCTTCATAATTGCAACTGGGTGAAGCTTTGCAACCCAGGGAAGCTTTCTTCCAGTGACAGGATGGAGTTTGATGGGTGAGAAAGACGTTGACTCCCAAATTAAACCCATGCCAAATTTCCAAGGTTTGCTATAACCTATGGAGCCACCACAGCTCTGCAAATGATGGTTGCAAGAATGAAGGGTGTCCTTTTGAGGACATCTCTGCTCCTGATGCTTGCGAGATGCAAACCACTTCAAAATAAAGACATTCCTTTGCATATGAAGATGTTCAAAGTGTGATTTTAGGTTCTGTATCAAGTAGATACTAGGGAAATTGGCCAGCTGGGGATGAGCATCACTCACCTTCCAAGCTAAATATCCTTTCCCCCAATGCATCCACGATGTCTTTGAGTGCAGCCTCGTCCGTGACGTTGAAGAAATGCTTGTCATCCGGGTCGCTCGCTATGAATTTTATCTCGTTCAAAAAGGCTTCGGGATTGATTCCTCTTCTGTTATAATAACCCAGTACCTAGGTTTGAAATACAAATGAGAGACTCAGGGGGTTTTTGTGCGATGGATAGAGCCATCCCCAAGCATCCGAGGGGTGTCCATGTGGAAGGACCCCAACAGCATCGGCATCTATCACCCCATCATGGGAGCAAATTGGGATTTGCTGTAATTCCTCTAGGCAGCGTTGGGGTCCATGGGAATGAGTTTGGCGCAGTCATTTGCTGCCGAAATGACCCCTCCATCCCCACTCACCGCCACCGCGTATCTGGTGACGTTGTCCTTCTCGCTGTCCTCGATCACCTTCTCCAGGTCTGGGCTGTCGTGCGACTCTCCATCTGTGATTACAATCATTACTCTCTTTGCCCCTTTCCGGCCACCTTTCTGAAACGCTTCCGAGCTGCAATTGAAGAGATGCCCTGGGCTGCTCAGCCTCGCCGAAACGGCCGTGGCCGCCGCCGCACGCACCCCGTCGCCCGCACTGCAAAGCACCCAGGGGTGCTTGGTGGGCTGCTGGCCCTCGGGGGGGATGCGATTGAGTGCAGGACTCTCAGGAAACATTTTAGGACTTTAAAAGGGTTCCGTTTGCTTTTTTTCACTGGTGATTTTAAATGTATTATCGGGAGGAAGAGGAAAGTGAGAGGTTTTTACCGAGCAAACTCTATCCCATAGGCAGTCCTGGTTTCCGTGCCTCCTCTTTGCTCTATGTGACTGGCAGCTGCTACCACATCCTTTACAGACCTGTAGTCATTTAAATGAAACTCATGGACCACATCTTCTCCATACTGAACCACTCCGACCTAGGAATACCACAGAGGACACCAATAACCCTCCGTTCAACAAGGGCCAGTGACGCAACACCTTGTCCATCACACAAAATAAAAGCCACCATTAAAAAATCAACCCTTCTGTCCCCACTTCCTCCAGTTGCCCCCTATGGGACCATCGATAATGCTATATATTTTATTTCCCTTCTCTGCCAGCTCTCACCCGTGTGCCCTGCTATAAAGGGCTGGGGCGATGCAGGAGTGCCCTGCCCCAGTGCGGACCCATCTCTAAATGGGACAAAATGGGTGTTATTTGCACAAATCATTGAGGATATCCTTGCCCAAATAAGCTCATGATTACTAATAGGCAGCTGCAACAAGCTGCACAGGGCAATACTTCTGTGTTTCCATATGATTTCACCCTCCCCATGCCCGGTTGGGGTGTGGGATGCTGCTCTCTCCATAGCTTATTTAGAGACATTAATGCAAATGTTATTTCCACGGGCTCAGCTTTAAAATCCATACATTGCAAGTTGATTTTGAAAAAGTCTGGTGCCAAATCGCAACATTTTGGCAGAAAAAGGTCAAAAACGGCCCCGTTTCGCATCCGGGGGACTCTGCACGACACAAGGGATGCACAAGGGGCTTACTTGTATCTGGCCGGGGCCAATATAAAATTTTTTCAAGATGTTTATCAGGAAGTGCTGAACTTCAACCCAAGGGTATATGCTGTTTGATCCGTCCAGAACGATGATTATGTCCATGTACGTCTGGCATCCTGTGAAAAATACGCAGCGTGTGACTGAAAGAGCTTGGCAACGCTTGCAAAGGGGAGATTTACGGCTTCATTCCTCGCCATCAGGTACTCGCTCTGATGATTTGTTTGAAAAATAAAAACATCCTATTGCAATCATTCACAAAGACTTTTGGGCTTCAATAAGGTAGGGCGAAGCCACAAGCATCCTCTCTGCCGAGAAAAGACCGGATAACTTTCTAAGAATAACACTCAGTAGTATCTTTTCTCATTCAGATTTGAATTTTTTTATCCGGTCTAATACAGATGTGTACTTCAAAGTCTGGCCCACTGCAGGCAGGATCCAGCTCGGCTCCTCCCGTGGAGCCATGCTTTACCCCTGAGTCACTCGCCATGCAACACCAGTCGGGCATTTCCTCCCTTTCCCATTAAATCCTCAGCGGCGAGGCAGCCAAAAACCCCGGCGAGGACCCCAGCGGTACGAGCTGTGGAGGATTTAGGCAGCTGACTGGTTTTCAGCAGGGAAAATCGCTCAGCGTCACCTCCCTGTCTTGGTTATATTTTGTAACGTTATTTAGAAAAGCAGCAGAAACCCAGAAGGTGCTGAATTTTCCAGTGATAGTTCTTTATCGGTTGCCTTTTTCACCTCCTGTAGCCATTTATGGGTCCTGTAGTCACATGGGTCACTCCATCACTGAATGGCTTTGGTTGGAGAAGACCTTTAAGGCCATTGAGTCCAATCAACCCTATGGTCCTCAGCTCTGTGCCACCCCCTCAATCCCAATTAGCCTCTGTAGTGAGGGCTAAAAGCATCTTCTGGCCGTAAAGAGGGAAGAGACACTGAGAATTTGGTGGTGGGCTCTGCCTTTCCTGCCTCTGCCCCCCAAAATTCCCATTTCTCCATGCCGTGAGAATTAAGCAACACCAGACAACCGATGAAGCCAGGACATCGCACCCAGTGCCCAGCTGGGGTGAGAGTTTCTGAGAGCTTCTGCAATTTCTTACCACCTACAAGCAAGCCAGGAAACTCATTTAATGCCTCAAAATAAAATCACGTACCCAAACTTACAAAATCAGGCCAAAATATTTAGCTTTCAGTCAATGAACTCCTTGTTTTGCATGGCCAAGGCCTGAATTC